TATACACCCTTTCAACCCCTCTCTTCTGACCTGCAATTCCTTATGTATCACTCTCTCTCACACATCAATTACGTCTTTGCCCGCAACATCCGTGATGGTGCCATCCTGAGCCACACTGATATGCTTCTTCTCTAGACTGGCTTTGACCGGATTCTTGGAATTGAAAAGCTCTTCAATTTCCTCCAGACTCCATCCTCTTGTTTCTACAAAGAAGAAGTAAATGACAACAATGCCAAATGCATCCCAGACTACATAGAGGATGTAGTATTTCCAGCCAGAATTTGCAATAGCAATTGGTGGGACGTATGTATTCATGACCTTGACAGCATTGTTCATGAAGGCGAGATAGGCCATACCCTTGGCACGTGTATTGTATGCCAGAACTTCGACGGGATATAGAGATTGCATGGGCGTCTGTTCATGGAAAAAAGTATTAGCCTTGCAGGATGATAGACCAGTTCAGGTTAATAAGGGAAGACCAACCCATGCAAATGCAAACGTGATCAAGAAGATGTAGAGAAATGCGATTCCAGTCCCGCCAACAGCTGGTCTCCCTTTCTGTTCGGCTGTGCAGGCGGTGATAATGGCAATTGAGATTGTCATTCCCGCGCTCGAGGCCATCAGTAATTTACGGCGACCAAACTTGTGCATCACATTGAGACCGCAAAGTGCCGCGACTGCCATGACAGGCGTCTGAATTGCGTTGAGCAAGAGCTGCGTGGACACATCGGTAATGCCGACGGTTTTAACTGCATAGGAGATTAGCAGGTGAGATAAAATATACTATTGCCGCCTACCCATGAGTGGAAAGTAATAACTTGTCGGTGGCAGATCCAGTTCACCAAACCATGCGATGCAAGTAACAAGGAATGTACGGTAACGCGCTGCTCGTGTACTAAAGAGATCCCTGAAGTCCCACCAACGTTTGTCGGAACCGTCTAACTCAATAACTTCAATCATCTCCTGCAGCTCTAAATTAGCGACTAGAGCTTCTGGATCCCCATCGCCGTGGTATTTGATTAAAATAGCCTTTGCTTCGGCCTCACGTCCTTGACCAACATACCTATTTCAGTCAGAAAGAGATAATTATCAATGTTTGAAGGGGAGGATTTCGTACCATCTTGGACTTTCCGGAATGAACCAAATAGCGCACAGGATGATGGCCGACGGAAGACCTTGGATAGCAAGGGGAAGTCTCCATGGATAGGACAGAGTCGTCTTTGCATGGTTTAGTCCATATTCAAGCCAAGTTGAGATAATTGTTCCGAGGAAGAAACAAGCTTGATATCCACCAGTAAGCTGTGCTCGGTATTTGGGGTATGACATCTCAACCACATAGCTGGGCCCAGCAGTCTGAACCAGCACAGCACCAACACCAAGAATAAAGCGGCCGCCCATGAGCATCGACAAATTGGTGCCTGCCGTCTGAAGGATCGCACCAATAACACAGATTGCCGAGCCAAGAGCCATTCCTGCTCGGCGACCATATTTATCTGAACAGGGTCCAGCAAAGAGGGACCCTGCAATGTTGCCGATAACGTAAAGTGCTGCGACGAGGCCTTGATTATGTGTATTAATTCCGAAGTACTCGGTAAATTGAGGGATTGCGGAGAGACCTCCTATTTGTTGTCAGCCAGATGCTCACTGGGTAGTTCAGCCTTGTCTTGGCTAGGATTGGCATACCGAAAGTATTAGAGTCGAACCCATTTGTAGCAGAGCATAGATATCCAACAAAAATGCATCCATATAATTTTAGGAAGCTTCTCCTAAAGATACGTGGGTTTTCTCTCAGCAAAGCTGCTTGCATTCGAGACTCGGTCATGACACTATGTGTGGTGGGCTTGAGAGCACCATCATCGTGTCCCTCATCATGAACAACATGCTGTTGATCCATGGCTTTTGGAGTTGCCATACTGGATGAGGGTGAGTGGCAAGAAACGCCGTAACCTGCTGAAATTGACTGATGTGTCTTCGACAGGCCAAGTCAACTTTTAATGTTTGGCTTGATGATCTACATGGCGAGACGGCTGTATATATGTACTTCGTTGACGATGTACATGACCAGTCAAGAAGCATCTCATCATCTCCCCACAAACTCCTGCGAATATCCCCAGAGTTCCTGTCCCCATTTGGGGTTTCCCCGGAAGATCCTCCTGTGTGGTCCTTTCTCCACTTTCGTAGTCTGACCCTAATCTTTAGCGTTCTCGGCTGCAGCCCAAAACAGGTATTTGCCGAAGACAGGAGATCTTAGGCGACCACATGATTACGCGTTGAGCTACTACGCACTTTCATTTCAACAAGCCTTTTAATCTCTTACTTGATCATGCAACGGGAATTTATCATACGACAAGAGTCTCCTAATAGATCTTTCGCTCTAACAACCTCCGCCTCACAAGGCGGAAGTCATTGGCGGTAGATAGGAGACCCACGAGAGCGACCTCAAGCAAGGCTAAGCAAAGGTTATCAAATGTAACTCTGCTCGGGGCAGAATGTCTTTGATAGTCCGGCCATTCATAGAATTGAGCTAAGCCTCTGGAGCTATGACCCTTGAACTGGGCTGGCGGTCTAATTGACTATGGTTGCTCGTGTGACATGGGGAGTGATATGGACCGGGGAAAATAGTGTTTGGCAGTATCTGCCCCTTTATTTACTATAAGGAATATAATGCTAGAATAGTACTCTAGCATGCAGAACTTTACTGAGGAATCGAGTGTAAGTAAATAGTTTCATTGTAAGTCGGCGAGTTCAACCATAAGGCTGGAATATTACATCGAGTTCCGGTCCTCTTGATCTGACAAGCATGAATTCAGGTAAAATCATCAAGGAGATCAAATGTATGTGCCGGCTCCGGCTTTTTAAAGCGGCAAAGTCCCAAATACCCCTTCTGGGATTATTGGTGTTACTATCATTCCCAGTTCCCAGAAACAGGCTAAATCTCCCACCATAGTGTTCTCGCAAAAAAGACATAGGAATGCGAGCCAATCTCGGGCTGGATTAGAACCTAATTCGTATAAATTGGAGCATTTCTTGCCCTTTCATGATATTGTTCCAGGTTCCTCGAAGCTAGGCCTAGCCCAATAAACACCTCCTTAGCTCCTGACTGACGCACTAGTTCGCGCAGACGAAATCTCTGTCTTTATTATCACGAAAATGCGCTTTTCCGTTATTTTGGCATGTATGATCCCTCAAGTTGCAGCTGATTGTAGTCGAGAATTCCTGAAGAATGCAACTGATCAATATGTTGCTGCGCAAAGTGTCGGTCAAAGCCGGACTATTGCCGCGCTCGCTACCAGCAATGTGACATATACGGAGAACGCGAAAGCTGTGGAAATTGCGGCAAGCACTCTTTCTCAGGCCATCAAGATTGACTTCACGAGGAGCACTCATGACACTGTAGAGTGTGCCACTTTCACTGAAATTATCGCGGCGACCAATCCGCATCCATATGTCATTCACACGCGTATGGTCTTCACAAACGAGAAAGCGTCTTTGATTGAATCAATTGTTACAGATGAAGGAGACTGGTTATTCAACGCCACTGGAACCTTGACTTTAAATGCCCCCGAGACCTGGGACCTAATTCCCAAGGACAAGCAGGACAGTCGTGCTGTAATCAAAGCTGCAGGGGATGCCTACTTTGATCGATTTGGTAATGCAAGTGTAGCTCTTCCTTGGGGTCCACCTTGCTATAGGCTTGAAGGTGGACTTGCTGCACGTGGGACCATGGTAGGAGCAGACTGTGTGATGGATATGCCGAGCACCATTCATGTTCCTTATCGCCGATATGTGGTGGATGAGGAGATGGGAACAGTGGACATGTTTATTGGTTTCCCAGGCCTTGATAGATCTCAAGGTCAAGCTCCGATGCCCGACAGCCACTTCTTCAGAGTCGAGAATGGGAAGATCAGATACGTTCATACAGCATCTGCTTGTGTAGAGGCAGGCTGTGGCCTAAATGGCACGCTTGCGTTGTGATTGGGGAACAAACACGCAGTGAATGCGACGTATTTGTACATAGCGGATATCAAAGGCGATTGACATTTCCCATCGGGATCAGATCAAGCAACAACGGCAGGATTCAAAGTCCTGGAATTAGCTTCAATAGCTAAGTAAAAAGTAGTTAAATTCAGCTCTGGTGTATATATCTGCAATTACCTCAAGGTTGAACTTGAAATACAATGCTATTTATTGCCGTTTTTTAGCTCTCTTGCTGGAGGGTGTTCTTGGCGACTAGGTACGCCCCTGCAAGAACCACCAATTGCCGGGCGCTCTGATGCGGATCCGGCACTGGTACAACGTCTTGCGCTCACGCCTAATTTCGTATCCCGATCACCTCCTTATTTAGGATAGTGTTCCCGTACCAAGCAAGCCGCACATAAAGTACAACTACCGACATGTAGCTGTTTTGGGCATGTGGTATATTTCAGCATTTCTTGGCTACGACGTCGTCACATTCATAAGGCAACTCACGAATGGAACAATATGGCCTCCTGCTAGTTCAAGCTAGATCTTGATTCTTCATGCCTCAGAATCCCCCTCAGATTACAAAGAAAATTCATTCATTTCAATATAAAGGAACGTACTCAACTGTGAAGAAATGATCTTTCTGTTTCTAGTTTTGAGCAACACAGTCTGGCTCGAAGATAACCAGCCGTAAATACCGTTTATTTGCATCACAAGAGAACTTGATTGTCTGTTACGATGCGGATCTCCCCAGTGTTGTTAATCTCTTCTGCCGTTGTCCATGGATTGTCTATTGGAAGAAGAGAGGCAGAGGAGAAATCTTTTGTAATTGAATTCGGGCCAGGGGAGACACAAGTCGTCTCTGAAGCAGAGAAATGGGCATTGAAAGCTGTACGTGATCTCTGATTCTTAGATCGAAATTCGTTGCTAAGGTTGTATAGGAAGGTAAACATTTCTTTGATATCACTGATTACAGTGAGCTTTCTTCGATCACCGCAAACCTTCAAGAGCGAGCCACTGTGACCTACCCATCATCTATGGGGCAGACCACGGCAGTTAAGGCACTTCTACCCAAGTTGAATAAGACAACTATCCAGAGCAAGTTACAGACATTCTCCAACTTCTATAATCGATACTATAAGTCGAGCTATGGAAAGCAGTCCTCTGAGTGGCTTCTTTCTGAAGTTCAGAGCATCATCACTGCCAGTGGCGCAAAAAACGTCACTGTCAAGGCATTTGCACACTCGTGGGGACAGAGTAGCGTGATTGCCACAATTCCAGGGAAGTCAGCAAAGACAATTGTGGTTGGAGCGCATCAAGATTCCATCAACCTCAACAACCCATCAAGTGGCAAAGCGCCAGGGGCAGGTGCGTTGATACTCATCAAGCTCCTCTAATTAATCATTGACCCCCAATCAGATGACGATGGCTCAGGCTCGATGACTATTCTTGAAGCTTTCCGCGTAGTTCTTACAGATTCGCGAGTGTCATCTAGCCAGGCTACCAACACTCTAGAGTTTCACTGGTACTCGGCCGAAGAGGGAGGACTTCTTGGTAGCCAAGCAATCTTCCAACAATACGCCAAGGATGGACGGGATGTCAAGGCAATGCTCCAACAAGATATGACTGGATACGTTCAAGGCACTCTTGACCACGGTAACACTATTCGTTGTCGCCGCTGTTTTGTTTCAGTTAACTAATGTGGTTGGACAGGTCGTAAAGAATCCGTCGGCGTGATCACTGACTATGTGGACACCGGTCTCACAAATTTTATCAAGCTTGTCATCAATGCTGTAAGTGGTACTAGGAGTCTTCGATTGAATCAGTATGAAGTGCTGATAAGTATAACAGTACTGTGGAATTCCATATGTGGAGACTAAATGCGGGTATGCCTGTTCTGACCACGCATCGGCTTCTAAGGCTGGTTATCCATCAGCATTCGTGATCGAAGCTGCGTTTGAAGATACCAGTGACTATATTCACAGCACTCAGGATACGATAAGTACGGTAAATTTTGATCATGTACTAGAGCATGCAAAGATGACGACTGGATTTGCATACGAACTCGCTTTCGCGTCATTGTAGTCGATCATAGAGGGATTTGCCACGGCTATGCAAATGGGTACAACAAAGAAAGAAATATGGATTTTTTGATATAGAATATGATTTGAAATAATAAATTTCGATGAAAGAGAATAAAGATGGTGTTCTAGCACAGAATAAATCGTATATCAAGAAAGCAAGATTTGTGATCTCGAATCATTTCGCCAGATGACTCTCTGCACTCGTTGTCAAGCTCGATGTTGGACTTGAGCCTGTCGTGCCAGCAGCGAATACAACCAGCACAGCTGCATATGTTGCGGTGGCACTCAATAGCTCTATTGGCAATTTGGTTGGGCAAAAGTACGAGATCGCAACAGCGAAAGGAAGGGTGCAAATAGCAACGGTGATTAGACTGACAGATGCTTTTTAAACGAGAACCATGATAACCATCGGTGCCATGAGAATGATACCGCCGACAAATGACAGAATGTATTGATCTCTTTTAGCGTTGGTAGCATTCTGGCAGTCCCAAGGCGGACCCGGCAAACATGGAGAGTGTTTGTTCTCTTCGTAGGTTACTGCGGGGAGGGGATCAACCCCTTCTTTGGTTGTGATTTCGTCAAATAGTCTTCGACTGAGTTCCTGTTGTGACCGGAGAAGAAATGGAGAATGAGTCATCCCTCTTATTCCGCATTCCCTCATACATTCGCGATTCTCACAGCTGTGCCTGACCGTGCGAATACATTAATAAAATTCCCAGTTCCAGGCTGAAAGAAGAGACCCAAGAAGTCAAAAGACTCAACGAACAGTAATCATCCATCAAAGATGTCACAGCCCTAGAGTTATCCTCTGTCATTTCACCATTTTTGAAGATGCTTGCGGCTTCATTTAGCAGGCGTCTTTTCAGACAGTACATATCCATGCGGTGCAGCGCTACTAAATTGAAGTTAACCCCCTGGCCCTCATGGGGAAGCTGCAAGTAGAAGGCATGTCTTCGTCCTGCATCTGCAGAAATCTTCGCAATGGTGTCTTCGCTGATGCCACCGCTGGATTCAAGGTCATTTTTGTTTGTTTCAATCATGTTATGTAGTTGTGTCCGTGGAATTTTCACACCTCTAGGAACGGAGAGAGTTTGCGGAAACAAAACTTATGGAGCAGCCTTGTCTTGCTAACACTTTATTGTATCTCGTATGTGAAATTGGCCCGGACCTCTCGGAAATGATCAGATTCCGACGGGGAGGCTGCTGCAGATGTGTAGAAGTCTCAAGCTTCACCGCGACGAATATGTAGACCAACTAGGTTCTTTCGCTGCCCTCCCTAAAGACCTTGCAGCCCTCGTTTTACGTCACAAACGCACATTGCAAGGATGCCCCGACCTTTACATTGGGAGGGATGAAGTATAAAAAGGAATAAATTTCAAGGGCCAATAAGTCACCAGGCTCTGCAGTCATAGCTCGCCACTCGGTCTGGAATGCATGGCAGGAAGGTAGATATTAATAGGAGTCGGGCAAACACCGACTGCCCGACCTCTGTTAGAAAGTGATTTAATAGGATTTGATGGTGTCACGCCCTGATAGCACGTCATTTAAAGGCGGACATTTTTCGCACATAGCGGCTTCGTGTCATACTATCTAGTGATAAATTCAAGGAAGAGCAATTTGTCATGGCCGAGTGAGACTATGCGGCTCTCACTATAGGGATCATCGGCCATCACCAAGTTAGTTGAAGACGTGCTACTACCATTTTTCAATCTACTTGGTTTGATGTAGAAAATCATGGTTATGTTATCAATTCAGTACATCGGACTTCATTATGATAGTCTCGCATGTCTCAACCGGTCCATATCAAAACACCCGTACCAAGGCTTGGCTTACCGGCGGCCCGAACCGCACACACAAAACAAGGTCCTCCTGGATGACGGATCACGGCACACTTACCCCGTTCAGGGCACCACGCGCGAGCCAAGACTTCCGCCCCCTTTCCAGTTGCATTGATGACCATGACCTCATTACCCTCAGTGTCTTCGGCCAAGTGATCCTTGAGCCTGTCCACTGACCATATATTTGTCTGATATCGCGGCAACTCTCTCATATGGACCTCATGGACACCTTTTGGACCTTCGAGACAAGAAGGTGGGACGACAAAGACTGGATTCGTAAAAAGCTTGTAGGTGATAGGATCCTCGTTATTGTCCATCTTGAATGTAATGCTGGCCCGATACTCTGTCTCACGCTCTGCTTCCGTGTCTTGTATCTTCCCCTGTGCCGCCTTTTGCGCCACATCCACTTGCAGTGCTAGCTTCTTGAGCTTGATCGAAACAACCTCGCAGGTTCCAACATCTCGTACCGGCGGCTCTGGGATGATCCAGTTATTGGAATCGCGCAGCTCGGCTAGGTATGGCTCCATCTCTTCGTCGGGGCGAATACGTGTCGCGTCGCGGCGATCGTACGGATTGCTCTGCCAAATGGCTTCATCCAAATCGGGTTTGTGGTCTGTTAGGGCAACTCGCCTCGCCTTGACCCTAATATGGCAAGGCTGAATTGGTCCCTCGAGCGGAGGGTCAAACTCGACCTTTGGGCAAGGTCCAATCCAGCCACACAGCGAGGTAACACCGGGCAAACAGCCCAGAACTCGCCCCAGAACCGTCCTTAGTCGCCAATATGATCGTGTGGACAGCACGAGGCCGCAGTCAAAATATGGAGCGATGCCGGTTTTATCTTTTATACTTAGCGTGCATTGAACTAGGGCCGTCATAATCTTAAAGGCAAACCATTTCCCGGGCAGCACGATACCGTACAGCCAGTCATGCAGGTCGATGCCAACCGTACCCCCGGCACGGATGCTACTGTAGACATCTTCTGCGTAATCGCGCACCTCGTTAACGTATGGCCAGCGCATACGCTCGGCGAACAACAGCAAGCCTTCCACTTGTTGTTCGTGTATAACTGAGTGAAACTCAACTGTCTTGCCCAAAATTTCCCAATCCTCGTCAAACCATGTAGAGTGCAGGGCATGCTGCTTAGCGACATCCTTCTCTGCTTTGATGCCTCTGATTTTTTCCTCGATCTTCGCCTCGGCACTGGCAAGCCCCTGGCGCATTTGTGGTGTGGCGTTCTTTCCAGCGACTTGGATTGCCCGTTCGTATGCCTGTTTCGCTCGCTTGGCATCACCTTGTTTGAATACGGCCATTCCAAGTCGAGAGAAGGCTTTGGCGTATTTCGGATCGCATACAGTTGCTACGTAGGCATCTTCCTCTGCATCCTCATATCTTTCTAGGCCCATCAATGCCGCCGATCTGTTACATCTGTATATAGCATTGGAGAGATCGAGCTTGATTGCCTCGGTATACAGGTCGACCGCTTTATCGTACTCGCCTTTCTTCAATGCTTCGTTGCCCTGATTCTTGAACTCCTCGGCCTTTGCCTTTGCCTCCTCTGTTTCGGGGCCTTGAAGAACACCGGTCGGCAGTTTTGCATCCACGAGAATAATTCGTACATGCTTCAGCCACAAGTCAGAGACAATAAGAGAGCCTAGAATCCGCTCAGTAAAACCGGTGTAACCTCTGGTTCCGTCCAGGTTTTTCAAACGAATGGCTAGTTCCCGGGCAACAATGATTTGACGTAAGAAATTCCAAACCCCAATGCAGGTGTCAGTCACGTTACCAGACCACTGCAGACCAACACTAGAAGAGTCTGGAAAGTCGGCGAAGATATCAGTGCGGTTCAAGACATTGTAAAGGTTACTGATCCATCGGTTTGGGTCCGTGGCGTATTGAGTATTGAAGTAAGTGATACTGGTTTTTTGTCATGTCAGCACACACAGACTCGCAATACAAGGTCTTGTTGTGCCACTACAAGAATGTGCACTTACCCAAGGGTTCCAACCATCTCTTTAAGGTCGAGTTCTTCCTTGTCCGGACTCCAACCAAACTTCCCTTCGTGGTTCTGCAAATCGTTTATCCTCCGTAGTAGTGTTCTTGCACGTAATGACGGCAATTCGGAGTTATTCACCATAATGGTCGTCTTCCTGTTGTCTGGTTTTGTTGCTTCGAAATCCCAACACTCTAGGCCATAGCCTTCAACAGTAACGGTTCCCGGATTTTCATTCTCGAACTTTATATGGCTTTCGGGAGCAAGTAGCACGTAGTCTTCCGAAGTATGCAAGTCATACTTTTCCTTTGTGGGTACTCTAATGTACTTCTTCCTCTTATACATGTCTACAGCAAGTTAGCGAAGTCACAACAGACGCTGGACGTGGAACCAATCATACCAAAAGCAGCATGTGTTGTTGTCACGAACCCCTTGCCTCTATCATCCCAGTAAGATGGAAATGAATCATCGTGCTTGACACCGTCCCAGTAGACATGCCCTGTGACACGTGCTAGTCGACCAAATGGACCGTTTAAACTCAATGTCAGAGCCCCATGACTCTTCTTATCCACGTAAAGCTCGACCTGTTCAAGTCTTCTGGTTACCTCGTCAACCTCCGAATCATCTGGGGACGCCGTCTGCGCGTCGGTTTCGGCGTGCTGATCATCCAGCAGATCGTCCTCGTTGGCATCTTCTCTTTCATCCTCCAGCCTAGTGTTCTCAGCTTTGGCTTCGCTAGCCGTCTCATTTATATTCCTTGAAGATGACAATAGCTCTGTCCTCGCAGAAACAGTCGCACCTAGTGCTTCTAGTCTCAAGCTTGCACATTCAGAGAGATCCCTGTGCTCATCTGCTGTCGCCAACTGCAACAACTGCAACTCACGGATCTCGACGGCACCTTCGATCTCGATTCTCATGGCCTCGGCCGCCCGTATTTGCGCATCCGGAAACATGCTCTCAAGACTATCATTGAATCCCCGCAACTCACTGACGAGCATGTCGAACTTCCGGCGATCACGAACCGCCCATACCGTTCGACGTGTCAACGGCGTCGTTCGCTGCCGCTCGCCAGCCATGCGACGTAGATTATCGTATGCACGCCGAAACACTCCATTCAGAATGCGCTGGCTCTGCGACGGTGGTGCTTGTCCTTGCAGATCGCCTTGGCCTCGGCCGGCTGTCAGACTAATCGGAGCGGCCTCTTGAAGACCATAGTGATCTTGTAGCCGCTCCGTATTCTGAAAGACGTGCTGAATGCATCCGAGCAGCCGGAGCACGGTGCCGCGCACTTCGTCACGACGAAGTCGGACATCTAAGCGGTTCGTCGTGGATTCAGGAGTGCTGATCCTGGGTGTCCGCGCTCCGTCTGCTGTCTGCACATTGGCAAGACCGACGGCGTCACCCCAGCAAAGTAGACGAACGCGCTCGACTTCGTACTTGACGTTGAGAAGCTCGAATTCCATGCCATGCTGGCGCGTGGAGTCGACGAGTTCGTAGACCTGTATGCACGATTGCCACAGAGCGGCAACACCGATGATAAGTCCCGCAACGTCCGCCATGGCTATGATTGCTCGTCCCTGATACAATATACTGGGGCAATACCCACCGTCATATTTCAAGGTAGCAGATTTATCATCTCGCCATCTACAGGTGAGGCTCGTTATGCCTCGCAGCCATCTTCAAGCAAGTGAAGAGGCGCAGCTCAATCTACGGCCCGCGCCACAATGTTGTCGCTTCAGCATCACATCATGCTTAGCAGTTAGCCGATCAACCTTGCCTAAAGCTAGCTAGCATGTTTCGAGCCTCTGTAAGACGGCCTGTAAAAGCAGCCGGTCCTCTACAGAACAAGTCTAGCAGGGAAAGGGCATGTTCACATCTGAACCGCGTCTATCATTGCAATGCGACGAAGCTCACTGAGCCCGGATCCCAAACTTTCATAAGGCGGCTTTTAAGGCGCATTCATGCCCGCAACTATCACATGACTTGCTTCACATGAAGGTAGTCATACTCAAAATCCAGTCATTGGTAGTATAAAGTTGCAGCAATTGTAAAACTTGAAGAGCGCATACAAAGAGCTTTATTTTAATCGCTCCGTACCAAATGCGCAGCCTAGCAATGCCCAAAAGTGACCTCGGTATCAACTTGCTGTATCTATTCCTTCATATCCTTGGTATTCAAATGACACAGCACAACATAACAGCCCAAAGTCAATTGCTGTAAGTACCTTACGAAAGGCAGATGATCTAGAAATACAAAAAGCTTGATCATACAAACACCAAACAAGAGAGCTCCTGAGAAACCTCAAGGGGTGGGAGCGGGAGGTTCCCCACTGGAGTGCAAGTTTCGCCAAGGCTTTCATATCGGAGATGCTTCCCGCTCTTCCTGGGGGTTGCGGGGTGCTGTGTTTCTTGGTGGAAAAATCGGCCACGGTCCCAGTTCGCCAAGTGAGAGGCTCGGTCTGGTGGTGTCCGAGACAGCAGAAGAAAGCCTGTAAACAATCGCTGTCTTCTGGGCCGAGATGAGCGATGAGGCAAGGCATCGTGGACTTCTTTGGCTGGGCGCTGGGCGCCACCAGTTCAGCCAAGACACTTAGAACCAGGCAGTTCGAGAAATGGTTGGCCCGACCCCTAGCTACAACGGTATGTAATTGTGTAGTGTACTCGGTCGTCATCCAATGTGACCCTCCAGCACAAGCTAAGCTTACCCCTCCGAGCACATCTTATCGTCTAAAAGGATGGAGATCATTGAGAGAGTGTCGAGAAAGGTCCGAATCCGAGCTGTTTAGTCCGCATATCCGTGCATCCTCATCAAGTGTCTTTCTCCTTGAAAAGCCTTCAATGGCGGCTTCGATGCAGCAGAGGCCTCTTGTCGTAGGCCCCAATAAGCGCCATGGGATGTAGACTGGCCTCCAGATCTCCGCAGCTTTCCCCACCGGTCTAGTACTATGCCGTTCACTACCTCCGGCATGCAGATGCTCGGGCCAATGGTGTCCTGTAGGGCATGAGGAGATTGGTGCAAATTCGGTACCCGCTATCATCCAACCGAAATGTTCAAAGTGACCCGACTAGGATCTCGTAGAGTGTGCGGATCCATCACCCTGGATTCTTTCAGTCGATCCCCGCGGCTGCATACCATTCAGATTCATTAGCTTGCTTTGGGGTCCGGGGGAGGACTTTGGGGACTCGACGTGGGGAATAAAGTCGGCTGACATTCCCATCTGATGTTTTCTATTCTCTTCTTGCTCACTAGAAGGCCGCTTTATCTGAGCGTCAGGTAAAGAATCATTGGTACTCTATCCAGCGTGACATTGGAAATATCGACATCGAACGATACCCCGCCCAAACGCCCGTCAAAATGTCCAACATCGAGCCTCTCGACCCCGAGATCGTGACCAGCAACCCACAGGGTGAGAAGGGCGCCAAGCGATCTTTTCAAGAGATTGATCTTGAGCGCAAGCACTCCGTTGCCGATGATATGGGGAAGGCGGATCAAGCCCGTTATGATAAGATCGACCATGAAGTTGCGAAGTATGCTGCTGCCGAAGCCGTCCACGTGTCGCCTGAAGAGAGCTTGCGACTACGGAAGATGATCGATAAACGCGTGCTAGTTATCATGATCACGACCTATTTCCTGCAAGCTATTGATAAGGGCACACTATCATTTGCGTAAGTGATCCCCGCCCACAATTGACTTCGCATCGCTTCGATGACGGAGCGCACTTTCATGGCTTGTTTCAATTACTTACCTATTGCTCTGTAGATCAATTATGAACATGCCGAAAGATACTGGACTCGCGCTTCCATCTGGGTGGGTCTTTAGGGATACCCTGTGTATGATGGTTATACTGATGCCTAATATTGCAGATCTCCATCAGCAAAATGGCCGTGGTTGACAACTTGCGTGTACATTGGTATCTTGGTCGTCGAGTATCCTCAAGTAAGCGACAAGTTCATGAACCAGCATCCACTATTCGTACTAATGCGACTTTGAAGAATTATATCATCGCGCGTGTACCTGTCGCCAAGTATCTATCTTTCAGCATTATCGCATGGGGGATCGTCCTCGGCTGTCACGCAGCCTGCAAAAATCTCGCCGGCCTCATTGCTGTTCGAACTCTTCTCGGAATATTCGAGTCGGCATGTCAACCTGCCTTTGTTGTTCTTTCCGGCATGTGGTACCGCCGAGAAGAACAAGCCGCTCGTGTGACATACTGGTACATGATGAACGGCGCCCAGCAGATAGTCGGTGGTCTTCTTGCGTACTGTTTCACCCTGATCAAGACAGGTCCTTTGAAGAACTGGCAGTGGCTTTTCCTGTCATATGCAATCATATCAGTCATCTTCGGTGTATTCGTGGGCTGGTGGATGCCGGATTCTCCAATGCGAGCCAAGTGCTTCAGCGAAGAGGACAAGAGACTGATGGTTGAGCGAGTCCGAGATAATCAGACTGGTATTCAAAACAGAACATTCAAGAAAGAGCAGGTCATCGAAGCGTTCAAGGATCCCCAGACATGGTGCTATGCCGGTATTCAGCTATGCACCACCTTCCCCACAAGTGGTCTAGGTGCTTTCGCGAATGTGGTGATTAAGGGCGCCTTTGGCTTCAACACTCTCCAGACTCAACTGCTCGCTATGGTTCTCGGCTTCTACATCATCATTGTCCTCCTGGGTTCGGTATTCCTCGTCAAGAAATTCAATCAGAATTTGCTCACCATGCTTGGATTTGTCGTTCCTTCGTTCATTGGCACCATTCTGATCATGGTAGGTACTTATGCGCTGCAGGCACATATTACTGGTGCTAAACTTCTCTAGACAATTCCGAACAAGAACTTCAGCACTGCCGTTGGTCTACTCATCTGTTATTACATCACCCTGTCATTCTGGTCGGCACAGACATTAGGTCTTAGTATGATGAGCCGTAACGTCGCAGGTCAGACAAAGAAGACTGTTGTGATTGCCAACAACTTCATCTGGTGGAGTGCCGGAAACGCTGCTGGAAGCCAAGTCTTCTTGGTGAGTGATCCTCACCCAACATATTACTTAGAGCTATAGACTAACATGCCTCAAATACAGGCTAGAGAGGCACCGCATTATCACACCGCTTTTGCTTCGCACCTTGGCTGCTACTCCCTACTGGTCATTATCATCGTCTACTTCCGCTGGTATCTCACCCGGGAGAACAAGCGCCGTGACGAATTGGCCGCAGCTGGCGTGAGAGAGGCTGCAGACACCCGCATGGTTCACGCTTTCGAGGATCTGACAGACAAGGAGAACCCCAACTTCCGTTACGTGTACTAAGGACTTGATGTTTCGCAATTGAAGGCATTTGGCAGAATTTAGGGGTATGGACCGTATGGGTTCATTGCCTGGACAGACTGGAAAAGAGATGGAATACATAGCAATGACCTGAAAGTGGACAAGCCACTGGCAAGTCGACTATTGCTCAATTTTATCTACTTGAAGCTGCTTCATGCTCAACCTACTGTGGTCTGAATTCCTGAGTGACTCGCTTTGGTTCATAGTAGGGCGTCCCTAAAGGAATAAAATCCAGATCTTTGTATCCGAACTCTGTTGGGCCACCAACACGGATACCTTGGGGCGTGTACCTGCAGAGAATAAGTCAGTTCACACCTAAGCGACATCATGAGAAGTGCAAGCAAAGCCTTACCAATGAGGGTGTGCGACAAATGCCACCACGCTGACCCTAACACCATATCGCAAGTCTTGTGTACCCAAGGCATAACCGTCGGTTCCAACTAATGAGATCAAGTCCGGAACAGTGCAAAGTATCTCCCCACGAGGTCTTCCCGCTTTCGAGGCTTGCCCAGGTTCAACCAGTTCGGCGTAGAGATACTCGTTCTGGAAAGGCAGAACCATCTCACGTGTCTCCGTGCCGACGGCATCACCATATTCCTGTTCATCTTCAGACAGCGGTTTGAGTCGTACACTGCCTTCAGTATAGCCGCCTGCTGACACGTATCGATGGACGTTGACAATCTTGCCGACGTAGAGGACCCGGCCAGAAGGGTTAGCCTCAACCTACAGTTATCATTATTCATTAGCATACCAGCCAAAGCTTTATATCATGACACGTTTAGATGGATGATTCGTACGATGGCTTTCATGATACTCGTGTTCTGCTGACGGGCGAGGTATACAGCCCGGCCAATATACCAAGCTAGTGAGGTGGTACCTAGAGTGCCAACTTCTTTGGTCTGCTTAACTGTCAATGGTGGTATTACCATTTGGCTGAAGAGACCTAGTTCATGGCCAGCTTTTCGGTGAATCTTTTCCAGCTTCCGGAAGTCGGCGCACTTGTTAACCGTGACAACGTTGCCCATGCCGTCACTTTGTGTACAAGGTGTCGCACTCATGCCATATACTATGCCATCGAATTAGAAGCTGTCCTAGGCTTGGGCGACTGAAATATTTGAATGCACTCACAGAACGGTGTGAGAATGTAAAGTCGGGGATATGCTCGCCCCATAAAATCTCCGTCAATGGCAGGAACTCCATAGTCTAGTCCGGTCAATAATGGTCGAATCCCATTCATGCCACCGATCTCGATCTATACGATGGTAGTTAGTGGATAATTATATTATGTATACGTTAGTTGATTGCTTACTGCAGCTTGAGCTGCCATCTTGAGCCCTGGGTAACTCATCAACAACGCATCAGTGGCATCTTTTGCTTCCGTCCCGCTAGGAATCCTCTCAAGAGTGACAGTCGGAGCTCTACATGTTATCAGGATGCGTCCGCATATTTCAGACAGATATTGCCAACTGACCCATATGAGACGCTCCCCATAATATACTCGTCTTCCGGTAGAGAATCCACATCAACAACCGCAAGCCGATGGCCGGCCTTGATTGCAGCGCGGGCTGCCATATAGCACATGTAGCCTGGGCCACCGCCACCACAAGCAAGTATGCTGCAACCAGTCGCGAGAAACTCACAATCGACCTCCGAGACCCACCATGTTCCGTTCTTGTCGACCTCGGGACGATATTGAGATACGTCTATTAGCACAGAAGGACTGACAATGAAGTCTTTAGGATCTTTATCCGCATTCGCAGTCTTTCGTGCTGATCTCGTCCAATTATCCTCTACTTCTTGCACCTGAGAGTCTGTCACATGGCTCGATGGCATATCCTTGTTGAGATTACCGGCCTGCAACACGATGTAATTCAGCGACCAGCGACAGAGATGGGCGTATTTCAACGTACCGCTCTTGCTACAATGCGACTCGCTCGCATCTGAACATACTGCAATGGCATGTTATCGAGCTCGATGATGCGGACCGTTGCAGGGTCGGCACCAGCCTCGATGGCGCGCTGTTTGGCCTCTTCGCACACTGAATTAACTACTTCCTCCTCATCGAGATTTTCCATGACTTTGATTACATCGATAGATCCAGAAACCTTGGCAATGGCCGCTCCCACCGCGTTCGCACAGTCATGGAACCTGTTCAGGGTCAGCATAGTGGACTAGTGGTAAATACGCAACCTACTTTGGACGTATGAGCTCGCAAACACCTTCCAAGGGGTCGATGTTGACAATACTTCCGCCACCAACAACAATAACGACGGCGGGATCAGCGCTTAGCTTCATACTATCAATTGCATTCTCGAGGATCCTCTTCATATTTGCCCTCGCCTTGTTGATAACCTCTGTTGTTATGTGTTGCACTTTGCTGACGTCTCCTATAGCAGCTTTGCCTGCCGCTACGACAATATCTGAGAAAAATTATCAGTATGTACATATCAAGGCCAAAAAGATTGCATGTATAGTACCTGTTGTTGTCATTGTGTCTCCACCAAATACCAAGGCTTCGCTAGTCAAGCGATGTCCGACGGATTCGGGACCTACAACAATTCCATCCTCTTTTTGCTCCACCAATGTGCCGCCTCCGAGAGCTACGGAAACAACGTCTGGCATTGAGAATGAGCTTCTAACACCACCAATCTCAACCCAAGTTCCTGCCTGTCGGGGGAATCCGGATGGCAAACTTAGGAGATGCATGTTTAGCCATAAAGTGTGCACGGGGGAACCAACAATTTTACTCACAGTGCGCAGACGTCCGTTGTCGTGCCACCAATATCAGCTACAATGACCGGTGCATTGGGCATTTTCCCCTGCGCGGTATCAAGGCCCGCAAGATATGCAGCGCCGGTCATAGAGTTGGTGGGACCGCTGGAGAAAGTTTTGATAGGACAGCCCATGGCAGTGTCCGCATCAATGACCGTTCCATCATTTTGCGTCAAGAATAGAGGGCACGAAAGTCCGAGTGAGCGCATTGCGGATTTGAATCCACGTATAGTTGCTCGCGCAAATTTGAGAATTGAGGTGTTGAGTATTGTGGCATTCTCTCGCTCAAGAAAACCAAGTTGCCCGACTACTCAATGTCAATAACATTTCTGGTAAACGAGATACGATATGCGGTCTTACTATCTCTTGAGCATACAACATCCGCTCCAGGTATTTCTGTGTGCACAATTTTCTTGACTCTATCTTCTTGGATACCCTTGGTATCTAAAGGAGAAAATATTCCGACAATTGCGATGTCACTTATACCTTTCTCTTTGATGATTTGACACTCCGTTCTGATCTGATCCTCATCGAGTTCCATTATTTCACGAGTGTCAACTGATGGAGTGTCAAATTAGCAAATCAACGTTAACACAAGAGTTGAACATTAAAAGTTCCACATACATTCGAGACCGCCGTCGAGATAAGATACATGGCCATTCATTAGGCGAGACAATATGGGTGGAAAGTCTGAGAAAGCCGGGTTTTCCTTGCTGTAAGGGCCGCATAACCGCATCACTGCGACTCGCCTTAAACTTGTTTCATCAGCTTGGACGACAGCGTTGATAAAATGCTGGACGAGTTAGCAATCATTCCAAGAGGTTAAAAATCTACTATCATCTTCGTACAGTTGTGCCAATCATCACCGCTGCGATACTTCCAATAGGAACGCTGCATTGTGCAAGAGCACCTTGCACGGCGGTGGCGATTCCTAAGGTCACGTCCGGTGTTGTAGGTGTCTTGAAGGCACTACAAATGCCCCTGGTCTCACTATCGGCATCCCCGACACCTTTGAGTTGAATCAGCTTGCGATCTCATGGCAGTATTAGGTCCACATGGGGAATCACTTACGAAGAATGACACAATCGGTGTTCGTGCCGCCTATGTTGCAGTGTTAACGTCGCATGTCCATTCAGATTCAGCGCAGCATTGTAGAGGCTACCTACCCACGTCCACACCAATACGGTAAGCATTTTGGACAGCCATTTTACAGACTGATAACCATAAATTAGCGATTGATTCCGACCAAAGTTTCACACAAAGGGTAAGAAAGGAACATAGGTGAACCAGTCTAGCAAGTGTAAGATGACACGGCGGGTTGCTTTGATACTTCTAACAATAAGTCAGACCTCGAGACCTGTTTCTAATCTTCGGTACATTCAGCTTAGCCTTGGAGTTGTTATCAACTCCAATTTACCCATGGCTATGGAAAGATCCGAAAAGTGGATTACTTCTGGAGCTACCTGCAGGGATTGGGTCGCCCAGACCTTCCTTAGGAAACTATGGGTGGGGATAATTACTTCACAATTGATAAGCCGACACTTGGAGGTTTGGCGGCTTATCTACAGACTAGCAGTTCGCAGCTAGCTATTCCTTGGCGAGCGATGTAGACTGATCGTCCCGTCGGCAAGACATGCCTTTTATGCATGGCAAAGGACAGTGATATGATAAGATATGTTCCGATATGAAATGGATCAGTCGCTTGCCTTACTCTTCGTAGCAGAGACTTAATGGCATAGAATTGATCAGATTATATCTCTAGCCCATCGCGCAATCTCTACCTCCAACTTGTCAAGGGTTGCGTGCGCACAGGCTTCGGATTTGCTTGACAAGTTGAGCTGACGAAAGGCCTCCAACTCATCATGGCGTCTTTGTTCAGGAAAGCACTTCACAAGATCAGCCTCTCTGAAGAGGAGGAAACGGATCGTTGGAGCAATGAAGATATTCGCCCCGTTCCTCCGGAACGCCAACTTTGGGGTAAGATAACAATGCGTGTCAAAAGACAACGGCGCTCAAAGATCCTAACATGCCCATGGCGCATGCGTGTCCGAGTCAAGGCTGATACGCTTGATTTAGGTCCCATCCAATATGTCGAGTTGTGGTTCTGCATCAATCTGAATATGAGCAGCTATCAGACTGGTTCCTCCCTGCTTTCTTCAGGATTGACCTTCTGGCAGGCTATCATTGTGATTGTTTTCGGCAATGCAATGGCAACAGGTTTCGCTGTCCTCAACAGTGTATCAGGGGCAAAGAGTCATCTTGGCTTTCCCATTGTTTCCCGTAGCGTCTGGGGTAGGTAATCATCGAGATATCCACAGATCCAATGAATCTCGGCTTTAAGAATTGAATCTACCCAAATTATATTTTTCTTGCTGACTAGGGATATTGCAGGCATGTATGGCGCGTACTTTCCGATCTTGAACCGCATTTTAACATCGATTGTCTGGTTCGGCGTGCAAGCTGTGATTGGAGGTAGAATGATATACATCTGCTTGCGCTCTATCTGGATTGACCTGGACGACCGAATCCCAAATACTTTACCTGAGGGTATTGGCATCACGACTGCGCAGTTCGTAGGCTACGTCCTTTTCAACTTCCTATGCTGCGTCTTCATGTGGTTTCGACCCCAGCAGCTCCGACCATACTTTCACTTTGCTTCTCTACTGGTTTTTATCACTTTGTTTGTTCTGCTTGGATGGGCACTGGGAACGAGCGAAGGCTACGGTGACGTCTTTAAAGCCAAATCCAGCATTTCCTCATCTGAGTTGGGATGGCAGATGGTGGCTGGGATGATGTCTGTCATTGGTAGCATATCGTCTGGTATTCTCAATCAGAACGATTTCACTCGCTTTGCTAAAAAGCCGAGCCATGTCATCTGGCCTCAGGCAGTGTCCTTCATGGTTAGCTCCTGTACAGTGGCTGTAATTGGGGTAGTGGTGACTGCTGCCACTCAGAACCGTGCGTGCTAAGCTACTGAGTATTGTTGACTCTCACTGATCACTTCATAGAGTATGGAAACGGCACCGCGCTTTGGGATCCTAGCCAGCTGTTTGTTGCTATACAGGATATGCACGGCTCGAGGGGTCGTGCGGCGGCGTTCTTCCTAGGAATTGTATTCATCATCTCTCAACTTTCGATCAATGTCATCGGAAATGTTCTTGCGGGTGGGCTTGACGTGGCCAGCGTATTTCCAAAGTATATCAATCTGCGACGAGGAGCATACATCCTTGCTGCACTCTCAGTATTGCCCAATCCTTGGCAGCAGGTCGCATCCGGTACTACGTAAGTCTCCAATGTATTCTTACTGTATGGCTACACTAACGCATAACAGCTTCCTCGCAGTACTCTCGGCCTATTCTGTGTTTCTAGGACCCATGATTGGCCTGTTGTGTGTTCACTACTGGGTCATTCAGAAACGTATCTTCGTGGTCCCCGACCTCTATGAAGGATCTTCTAGATCTCTGTATTGGTATCGTTGGGGCACAAATTGGCGAACTTTTGCCGCTTGGGTTTTGGCTGTAGTTCCCAGCATGCCAGGATTTGTTGCTTCGGTAAACGCCAATGCAAAAATTGGTAAAGCCGCAAGCCGCATTTTTAGTGTGAGCTTTCTGCTTGGTTTCACACTCGGTAAGTTCGCTCTCTGAGCTACCTCAAATGCCTTGATTCCTTCCCAAATAACCTTGAAGCTGATTTAACTGTCGTGAAGCTTGCGTTTTCGCGTACGCATTCCATCTGTTGTTTCCACATCCTTACCCAAGCCACGAAACAACATTGGACGATGAACCGGTTATTGCAGCCTCGAGCTCGGTATCGGAAGCTGAAAGGGCCGACCCTGAGAAAGGGCGGAGGGTAGCTTCTACAGAACAACGAGTCATGCAATAGGGGGAGGGCAGTATAGATTGCTACCATATCTAGTGGAGCCACAATTCTTTCTCATAGTTTTGCCCAAGGTCCTGCTTCTGCGAGGATTTAGAATGGCGGGTTTGATGCTTTTGTCTTGTACAATGCAAGAACAATTACGAGTAATGCGGAGGGTTTGTGTCTCCTTCCTGTTAGCCACGTATCCGAGTGTCTAGGCAATTTTAGATAAGCAAAGTTTGCTTGTATTTCACGTTAATTTCTGCGCACATACTCGGTTCTCATCCTTCGTGACAAGCATATTCATGAGGTAAACTAACAGTGGTCTAATCTTGCTGAAAAGAGGTCAGGTGTCTTGATGTGTTTCCTCAGGGGTAGAAGTGTGCAGGGCCAGGGGCCGATTAGGGGATGATCGGAGACACAAAGGGCGCCTAAGTAGCTCTGCCACTAATTCTTTCCTTACCAGTGCACACAAATCTCATGAAGCGTTTCGAATCAACGACTGATTGATGGAGAAGTTGGCACTTCTTAGCAACAAGTACTAATCTAGAAAAAGACTTATATCTATTGCTTAATTGGCATAAAACAATGCGATACTAACCAACAATAAATATCCTCCCTAGCCCGTTCCTTGTATGTTGCATTTCTCCTGATATTCGCTTTCACATATTCTAGAGGCTTGTTTATTACCGAGCCTGCATTTTCCCTCAGGAAAGTGTTTACGTCTTCCTCTAATGTAAGGTCAGAGAAGTGACGGAGACTCTCCTCGATCCACCAGTCACGACAAACAGCATTTGCCTCCAACCTCTGAGAAACCTTGGACCAGTTGCGTTTTGCGTACTCCCACTGTGTAATTCGACAAACATTATTTTGTCCTAGAGCTCCTCCCAAGAGGTGGAGGTGTTGAAGTGCCACGGAATCGCCTGAAAATGCAAAGTCGAGGATTTGTTCAGCAAGGACAGTGTCGTTGACGCATCCTAAGGCGTTGAGAATGATTTCTTGACCGTCGAGGGATTTGTCGCTTTGAAACATTTGCTTCACGAGCTCGAAGTCATTCTCAGTACCAATGCTGATGCAACCGGAAAGAACTACACCCCTTAAGCTCGGAGGAAGAACCCCGTTAACACCTGTTGCCCACCGCTCAAAGTATCGTCGTGCTTCTTGTATGAGAGACTCGCTGTTTTCCATACCCGCCGAAAAAGCCAGACTAATAATTGACTTGTTAAGCTCG